TTTGGGGAGTTGAATTCCACACAAGTTGCCAAGTCTGAAAAACATTGGTCCAAATTAATTCTTCCAATTCTGGGATTTTTTTAAGAGTGATAAAATTGCACTATAATAATTCAGAGCTACCACAAAATTTTGGTGACATTTTGAGGGAGCTACTTTGGGGGAATCATACGCAGTGGATGCTACTTGGCCATTTTAAAGTAGCTTGTCGGAGCTGTTTACTATTCCTTTCAGACGGGGGAATAAAGGTGAGGAGCAGGCACATTCCTTGCTGAACTATAAACGTAAATAAGCATGTGAATTAGTCCATAATTAGGTCTTCTTTTGCCCTTTATTCCATAATAAAGTAACTTTTCAGTAACGGAGTTGCTGCTTAAAACTATTTAAAATTGCATGTGCCTCTATTTAAGAATTTACCTTACAGTTCATAAGTGCCCTACTAGTTCTGTGCTTTGCATTTCATAAAGACTTATTTGTGCAATATTCTTCAAAAAATAGATAATAAACTTCAGTTGCAGATGCCTTATGTACAATATCTTGAAGTGCCAATATATGAATTGAGTAGGAATGTGAGCTGAGTGTTTTATATTGTTTTATTAAAAGGAGGTTTGGAAATGCTCACTGAGACCATGTAAATTGAGTTAAATATCCTACTATAATTTAAATTGGTGATAAACTGAAAACAAAAATGTGGGTATCATGTTATTTAAGGGGAACTCACATAATTTCAAGTTAAGCATCATGCCAAAGTGAATTAAGTAAATGTTTGCATAATCTGATATGTGTATACATAGCCTTCTAGAAATGAATATCAGGCCAATTTCCAATTTAAATTAGATGCAAGTTAGCTGCATAAGTGATGCCTGGATTTCTAAGTTACCCTTTGCACTTCAATAAGTAAAATATCAGTTTTCTGTCATGTGAATCTAGCATACATTCAAAACCAAATCTTAATAAATTCAACAAGAACCTGCATTTTGAAGAAAAATGTGGCATGATTTAGATCAGGGCTTTTCAACCTTTTCACAGATTGTACCACTTTTAGGACATGACAATATTTGAGTACCACCAGTGGTTAGCAAGTTGTCAAAAAGGGGTGGGGAATTTTGGGTTTTACTGATTAGATTCATTTGTTGTTATAGAAATGGCTAGTTTATAATATTATGGAAAAGTAAAAAGTTGAGGTTCAATGTTAATGCTTCCTTCTACTGCAACAGAGGAAATATGTTCTTTTTCCCTTCCCCCTCACTTTCCCCCCTTTTTCTTCACGACTGTGTCCTACTATTTGCTTTTGTATTGTTGTATTTTATTCTATAATCTAATAAAATATTACAAACTGTAGAAAAAAAGTACCAATTTTAATTCCTTTTGTGGCTGTTCCTTTGCTGAATCACTTTCCCTTTGCAGTGACAAATGTATGATGAATTCAAACTTGGCACTTTTATGACTTGTGGACTTCAACTCCCAAAATTCCTCAGCCCTTATGGCTGGTTGAGGAATTCTGGGAGTTGAAGTCCACAGGTCTTAAAGTTGCTAAGTTTGTAGACTCCTGAGCTAGCTGGTTGGCCCTTCTGAGCTTTTCCAATTCCTTCCCTTAAAGACACAGGAATCAAGTGCAAAGCAAGAAAATAAAGAAACACAAACTCCAATTTTTTTTCTCTTTAAGCTGCCTCTGGTAATTGTGAAAAGCTTTAGCTTTAAATTAAGCCTGTTTACCTTCAAAGAAAACTTTCTAAAAGCCACAGACAGACTCAATTAAAGGGGGTAAAACTAATTACATTTGTTTAAAGGGATTAAACCTTTCCTGATGTCTTTTTTCCCCTTCCCCCACCCAAACCACATTCTTTTATAGCCTCTCCTCTCCTCCCCCCCCCCTTTTTTTTTTCTTCAGTTCACCTCCAGCTCCAAGCTGCTTCTGGAAGTGCCAATCAGCTGGAGCCAATCAACTGGAGCCCTGCCTGTTCCTGGGGCTTCTGCCAAGCCCAGACAGTCCTGCAGCTGCAGCTGCCTCTCCCTCAGCCTTGGCTCACTTTGGCTCATTCCCCTCCCCTGCTACACTTGGCTAGCAATCATGTACCAACTGCCATGTGTCAAAGTACCACAAGTGTACACGTATCACTGGTTGAAAAGCTCTGATTTAGATGATTGCAATTAGCAATTACAATATTTCTATATACCATGTTTCCCCGAAAATAAGATCTGGTCTTATTTATTTATTTTGCCTTCAAAAAAGGCACCAGGTCTTATTATGGGGGACTGTCTTTTCCACTCACCTCACGGCAGCAGTACTGACAGCCCCGCCCAGCCAGCACACTTCTTTTGTGACTGAAGGAGCAGCTTCATTGTGCAGCTGATAATGGAGCTCCAGCCTGCATTTTGCACTCAGAGGCCTTCTGGAAGAGCCTCTGTAGCTGAAAACCGAGCTACCAATTAAATCCATTAAAATCCATTAAATCCGGTGAGGCAAGTGTCGATCCATGGGAGGCCTGGCTGCAATGGTAAGATCCACCCACCCTCACCCTAACTTGATTTGTAGGCATGCACCTCACCCTAAAACTAGGCTTATTTTTGGGGTAGGGCTTATATTAGGCCCACCCCCAAAAATCAACCTAGGGCCTATTTCGGGGTAGGTCTTACTTTCAGGGAAACATGGTAATCCTTATTTTGTGAACCAGGACTGATGCAGAAAAAAGATTGCTATTGATAATATTGATATTTACATGTGTTACTGAACAGAAGGATTAGTTCAGACCATAAATACACTGAACTACTTGTGGCAAACTAAGCATGATTTATTGAATGAGCTGTCTTCATCTGTTTGTTCTTCCTCACCCACCAGTAGTGCAGAATTTAAATCAACAAATCCAGACATCTGTGAACTATTGAGGAAGAGAAGAATCAGCAGATGCAATAACAATACTTTAGCCAGGAGTTCTCATATTATTCCATTGTGTCCATACTTCGTTATAGAAATAATGAGAACATGTTTGGAATATGCATTTAATAGAGTATCCTATACATTTTTAAAAAATGGAATAAAGTTTCACATAGTACTGTACAGACAATTCCATGTAAATGTGCATGTGCAGAAGTGGCTGCTATTTTGCATGTATTTGGATGTAAATAACATTGAACTAGATCAGGGTAGGCAACCTTGGTTCTTTCATGCTGGCTCAGGAATTCTGGGAGTTGAAGTTCACGAGTCATAAAAGAGACAAGGTTGCCTACCCCTGAATTAGATGGTATTGTTCTTTGGGAAAAAATGCATATGATTAGGCCATTAACCTCTTTAAAGCAAATCATTACCATGGGTTGACAATATGATTCATGTACACTATATGAAATATATCATTCAATATGTTTAATTTTTAAATAGATTTATGGTTCTTTAGATTATGAGAATCTTTAAATATTTGGTAATTAAAACTTGTCATTTGTTTTTAATAAAGAAATCTAAAATTATTGTTTGCTTGATTATTTTGAGAAAATGTCATTGCAGGATAGAATTTTCTATTTTTAGAAGAGGATTTGAGATCTAGATCAAGTAGAAGTAGTTTATGAAATATGAACATCTATTTTTTGACCAGATAGATACCTGGATTCATTTTGAAGAAAAGATCAAAGGCACATAATGGAATATCCAGCACAAACATATTCCAAGATAAACACAGGCTAATTCAGATAGATTCAAGTCAAATATATTTTATAAATTCAGCTACATTAACACAATATGTTTCTTCTAGGAATGCCATATTGAACAACTTTGAACAATATTTTGTTTACAGTAGTGATTCCCTTAAGAAATTAGAAAATGGTGTTACTTCTCAAATGTATTCACACTTAGAGGATTGCAAAGGCTAAGCAATCCAAGACAAAGCAAGATATTTATTTTTCATTTGATCATCAGTTCAAGGAAATCCTCTTATAGAAGATAAAGCAATGCCATTCAAGAAAATAATTTTTGCAACAAAATGTAATGTTATATGCAAAAAAGCTAATTATATGACGATGCTTCAAATTTAGAGCTTCCAGAAAAGAAATACAAAATGGCAGCAAAGGGTTGGAACTTTCTTTACCTCTGCTGCCATTTAGTGGTCTAGGTTTCTGCAACCCAGGTGTAGTAGCCCTATTAAATTCTGCAGTTTATAAATCATGGAAACTTGGTTCATGTTTGTGCTATAAATACAAGTAGTCCTTGACATATGACCATAATTGAACCCAAAATTTCTGTTGCTCAGGAAGATGCCCCATTTCATGACCTTGCCACAGTTCTTAGCTAAATCACTGCAGTTGTTAAGTTGGTAATACAGTTGTTAAGTGACTCTGGCTTCCCCACTGACTTTGCTTCAGAAGATCACAAAAGATATCACATACCCTGGGACACTGCAATCATCATAAATACATGCCACTTGCAAGTATCCAAATTTTGATTATGTGACCATGGAAATATTGCAATGGTCATAAATGTGAAAATAGTCATAAGACATTTTTGGTGGCCATAACTTTGAATGGTCACTAAACAAATGGTTATATATCAAAGATTACTTGTACACCAAATAAGTATAAATTAGTAAAATACTGTCCGTTGTGCAGCTAAAACTGTCTATTTAACTCTGGGTTTAACTCCGGAAGCACTAACTAGGCCTGGAATCTTGCAAGTGCGGGATAATCCAGCAGCTCTGAAGTTCTATATCAAATTTCCATGGTCTGCCCTACAGATGTATGAGTCTGCAGCTGACTGGAAAGGTGGGAATTAAAAGTCTGGGAAAGATTCTGGCTTCTTGAAATTCAGCATTTTTCTTATGTATCTTTCAGCACTAATCAAACAACTTCACCTAGGGACATCCAGATATTTTACAATATTTAAAGACAGAAAATAGGTTTAATACTTGATTTAATGAATGAAAGAAGAAGCTCTTATTATTGAAGTATCAAAGTATTGAACAACACATTTCCAATAAAAACAAGAGTTTCTAATTTCCAGGGATTTGATAGCCAATAGAACATTATCCTCTTCAGGATGAATGCAAGGTATATGTATATTTTTATACCATATCAAGTTTGTCTGTATTGAGTCTTAAAAAACAAATTTGTAAAGGTTGGGAATTTTCTTTGAAGAGAGATGAGTAAAGAAAAAAATTGATCCAGGCCTCTTCAGGGCTGCCAGCAGTTTGATTCATCCCATTTTCTCAATGTAAATTCCTCTTACTACGTATTAGTTGAGGGATGATTCTTGCAACATCTATGTGTGGGTGTTGCATTAAACAGCTGCTAAATGTTGAACTAGTTTGTGACTGGATTGTGTTTTGTTCCCACCTTCCCTGTTAATTGGACATTTAAGGCATCTACAAGATTTGTGGTTGGAGAGGTACATACTTTACTAAGAATTTTTTTGTTTAATTCTAATACCTTTACTTCATGTTATAAAAATAAAAACCAAGACATGGTGAGGCTGCCAATTGCTTTTTTGTGCATTGGATACATTCTGTTAACTCTTGCAGGTAAGTTATTGGATTCTTTGGTTTTGGTGATGGATACTATGTGTAATATTGATATAATTCTAGTGTTTTTCTAAAACAAATTATTTTAGACTCAAGTTATATCAAAAGCCCACTTCTGTACTTCAGGGTTGATAGGAAACTGATGTACCAAGTCATATGTTAATTTATCTCAATAGCATATGACAATTGAACCTATGGCATGTGTTGATCACTGATCAATATTGAGCGAGACTTCAGATGTATGTATATGTTCAATTATATATAGGTGAAGCTGTGAATGAAAATCAGTAACACGAGTTATAAATTTTAAAAAGTGATCTGTCATTTGTTTCTAGTGTTTACACCATTACAGGACAATTTCTAATCTTCTAGTTCGAAGCAATTATTTAAAAAACTAGGAACTAGACAACTGCAGGTATAATTGGATGCTACTGATTTTTAAAATAGCTTTCACCTATATTTTAGATTTTTAGAATGAAAATTATCTTGGTTGCATAGACAATAAAGCTGTTCTAAAACAAAAGCCCTTCAATACTTAAAACTTTGCAACACTTTTGGTGGCAATGATCACAGTCTTGTTTCATATGAATACAATTTGCACTCATATTTTCCCCTGTAGAAATAAAAATCTCTAACCTGATGTTGGGATCATTTTATTTCCTTTTTGTACAAGTTTATTCAGGATAAGATTTTATGATGTTTTAACATGGCATGTCAGAGCATCTGCTAAATAGAAGATAAACTGAAATTATGAATATCTTTGAAATGAATTAAATCATCTTTGGAAACCTATATAGTACAGGCAATATTCATTTAGTTTTCACTGTAAACCTATCTACTGAAATATTCAAGCTGATACTGTATTTTACAATGCAAACAATCCCATCATGATATATTCATTATTTAAAATTATCAAGTTGATTCCCAAATTATAACAATACATTCATGTATAATTTACAAAATGATCTTAGTTTTTATTAGAACTTCGAAATAAAATCCAAGTTAATAGGCATAAACAAAAGTGCCAAAACAAATGTACCTTTCCAGATATTAAAGAACTTTAGTTCCCATAACTTTTACCTCAAGTAGGTGATCATGAGAGTTTTATTCAAATAATAACTTTTAACAGCTGTAGTATGTAGTATCTACATATTAATTGTAGCATCTTCTTCATTCACCAAAGCTACAGCTTTTCTACTAGCAATGATAGAAAAATAAATAATTCAAATCTGTCTTCTCTTGATTACAATTTGTAGTTATTTTTGTCAGACACGAATAACCAGGAATTCAAGCACTAAAAATTTATTACATGCTACCTATACATAAGAATCTGATCCACCAATGGTCAAGCCAAAATGGTGCTAAATAATGGTCAACGGAATTCACAGGGGGCTGGATGTAGTTTTTTTATGGGAGAGCAAAGATTCCAAACTGATGGAACTTGATTTCACTATTGGATCAGCCTGCTCATCTACAATTTTGTTAATGGAAGATATGACAAGTTTAGTAAATTATTAAAGACTCCAAAAAAGTCTCTGGATAAAAGGTAAACGCTTCTCAGTGCCCTCTGAATTTAAAAAGTGTTAACTTTGTGTAAATTTGTTGGTCTGTGACCATAATAAATATTGATAGATTGTATAAATTTGATTTCAGCATACAGCTTTGATTGGAAATCTGTCTGGTGTTTTTGATCAAATTCCTTTAACTACACAGTCTGAAACATATTTAATGACTAAGTTTAAATTACTAAAGGGTTTTGGAATTTCTTTCAACTTTTTTCTAAGTTTAAAGAAAAAAATATGGGAAAAGTATTGCAGCTGGTTCTCTTTATCTACAATGGATGAGAATGAGGAATGAGAATGTTAAAGAAAAGAAGATGGTTAATGTGAATTTGGTAAAAAGTAATCTGTGCAGCCAAATGAATCTAGATTCTTATTTCTAAATGTTTCAGCCTTTAAGCATAACACGCATTAAGTCAAGTATGTGGACTTTCTAGTTCCAAAATAATTGCATTGGGAGTTGCCTCTTTATGTAACTACAATTATGAATTTCACATGCAGAGACAGCTCTACATGCAGGCAGTGTGCTTTACAAGATGTATTCTTTGTTATACTTATTAATATAAAACATAATAAATGTTCCTTTTCTACACATGAGTCATACATCAAAAATACTTTTCATATTTGCTATATAGCTTGTATTTCCCACCCTCTATCGTTGATTCAGTCTTGACTGTAGAGATAATGCTAAAAGTATTCATTATCTCTCACAATAATACCTTAACGCAGGGTGTCAAACTGGTGGCACATGGGTCGGATGCATCATATACAGGCCACGCCCACCCTGGCTCCGCAAAGGCAAAAAAGTTGTGATATGTCACAATACATCATGTGATCAAGTTGACACCCGTGACTTTTAAAATGTTAATTATATTGTCATAAAATCACATTATTTCATTTTTATAGCTTCTATGCCATATTGATATGTTCACGACCCCTCCCCAAATCAGAATGAGGCATGACTCAGATAACATCATGCCGGTGTTATTAATAAATACTGTATGTTTAAGTATACACAGACATATTTCATTTGTGCCAAAGATTGCGCTAATAATTTCTAAATCTATTTAGAAATTTGATTTGCTTTCCCTCCAATTACACCAGTGGCCATTTATTCCTTCCACATTTCTATAATCTTTTTGAGTTTTGGTACCTGACAGCTTGATTGTTATTTTACTCCTGTTTTAATCCCACAGCTTTCTCTTAACTAAACCAATTTTTCACAGGGTCAGTGTTTTATAACAACTTTTTTTCATACTCATCATCAACTTTTTCTTCTTCCTCATTTCTTCCAGAGCCTATTATTTATTATTATTGTATTTGTCTCTCTCCATGCTGCAATTCTAGTCCATTACTGTTTTATAATAGGAAAGAACTGCACTGTTATTGGTGGTGTCCTATGCAGCAACTTTCCCCACAGTTATGAAGATTCAGTGACATTAGTTATTCATCTAACACTTTTTTCAAAGGTTCAATTCCAGATTATAGTGCTGCCCAACATTTTCTCAGTCCAGTAACCAATACTTTTTGCCTCTGCATTAGGTACAATTAAATAGGTCCCATTTTTGTCAATCCCATATTTTATGAGCTTTATTCACGCCATCTTGTGAGTGCTGTCACTTTGGTGCTGAATAAGCAGTCTAAATAGACCAATACATCATTCAACTAGCCAATAGGGGAACACTATATACATACATACATGCATGCATACATACATACATACATACATACATATCTCCAAACAGTATTTTCTTGGCCTATTTTAATCCTTGTCCTGCATTTGCTTTTGCAATAAGAAAACAATTTATTAAATAAGGACACTGGAGGAGGTAAAAAGGTAGCAAGTGTTTGGCAAATGGCAAAGAGTCAGACTGACTGGAAAAGAGGAGACAGTGGCAAAACACAATGGTGTCCTGACTTCAGTTTGGGGCAGAGGAACTTGGCAGAGGGAGTTGAAAAGAAGAGTAACTTTGACCCAATAGGATACCATCCATCCCCCAACTTCAGAAGTTTGCATTTTTTTTTTTTAGTGCAGCAGTTAACTGGCAAAGATGTTCATAGAACACTGGAGTCACACCTGACATGGTGGGGACATAGAAATAGGCCAGTCTCTGGTACAGTCTTTCTACATGTCCATAATATAACTGAAATCATTAGGCTGACAGATAACCATTGGAAATAGATATAATCTAGAATTTTAATGAGATTAAGGGATTCCCACAGAATCTTGAAAGCCTGCCAAAACCTCTCCTGACTTCAACTTATACTGTATTTAAGCCAGTTGAGAAATATTTCTTTGGAGTTTCTTTCACAAATCAGATTTTTTTTCCTTAATAGCTCTGCATACTCCTAACCTCAATAACACTGTTATTACAGAATACCATAATCTGGGTCCATTAATCATGTATATGACTTGTTACAAAAAATAAGAAATAATTCTTTTTGGAAAAACTATAGTGGATATTTGTTAGAGAACTTTAATTTCTCTAATTGGTGAAAAATAAATCAGAAGCTCTTACAGTTGACTGCATTTAGCTGATTCAAATAACTTTATATTTATATAAAAATATTTACAATACCATTCTTCTTTACAGCAACATAACTTAATGAAGATTTCTTACAGAGACAGACCAGAGATAAACCTTGAGACTGGAAATCCAGCTCCTAACTCAATACTCTTTTGCACAGACTCAGTAGCACTTTCTTCACATTGGCTGACTGAGTTACCACATGACTCTTCCTGCTCATGAATATTCCAACACTCCTCCCTTCATGACAGGAAGAGACATCAGACTTATTAACTTAATACATTTTCCATAGTGAACATTACCCAGTGGTTTAGTCATCATGTCTGCCAAATTATCCTCAGAAGAACAATGATGTAAACTAATCAATTTTCCTTTTACAGCTTCCCTGACATTACAATACTTAATGTCTACATGTTTACTTCTGTTCTTCACCCTGTCACCAGTTGCCATTTTTATACAGGCAGCATTGTCTTCAAATACCTTTACAGATTCTTTTACATTAATATTTAAATCTTGCAACAACTGTACGTACCATGTTACTTCAGAACACAATTCAGATAAAGCAATAAACTCTGCTTCCGCTGTTGAAATAGCAACAGTTGTTTGTTTTCTGGACTTCCATCCAATCAGAGTCCCTCCAAACAATATTATAATCCCAGAATTTGATTTCCTTGTGTTTATGTCATTTACATAGTCACTATTGACATAACACTTTAATTTCAATTCCTCAGTAATCTGTATTTGAAGACCCAAATTTATAGTTCCCTTTAAATATCTGAGAACCCTTTTTACACCCATCCAATGTAACTATGTAGGTGCAGCAGTAAAACGACTCAAAATGCTTACTGCGCAAGCTATGTCTGGTCTGGACCACTGTGATAGATATAACAAACTCCCTACTGCTGAGTGATAT